GTCGACAGTTTTTTCGAGTAGTTTTGCGATATTTAGCCATTTTTTAACTGATTTGAATAACAATTGATGGAATAATAGAAAATAGAAAAAAGGGGGTTGTTTTGAGGGTGGGCGGGAAGTCCCACTATTTCCGTCACCTAGCTCCGGGCCGGAGCTAGTCCCTATCCCGAACTACCAACAGCCTCTTGAAAATATGGTGGCGAAGTTGACAATGGCCCTATTCAAGAAGTACAAACATCTTGATTCGATCTTGATCAGCAAGACTGACTCACAGGTGCTTCCATCTTGGCCTCCTGTCTCGCCGGGCAGGAGGCTTCTCTCACCGGGTTACGGTCTCGATGCATTGACTGTCCGCAAGGCCAACAATCGGTTTTGCTTGGGAGATTCAATATGGGAGAGTCTCCCCATTTAGAATGGCAAGGTCCTTCGAGTTCAGGGAATTGCTATCGGTAGGATCCTTACTTTGACCTCAAGCACAATTCAACGGCTATATCTCCATATTGTCCAACCCAGCCTATCAGTTTTGTGCCGTTCTCCGACGCACCGAGTTCCTTCAGCTACTACACAAGCAGCCAGGTCCTTACAGCCCGCCTCTCGTGCCTGTCTCTCAATCCGGAAGCCAGCAAATCAATTTCAAACCCTATACACGGGGCTTCTCGAAGAATGTCTGTTGCATGTGGCACCTCTTCTGTCTTCGGTATGTGCCGCGAGAACGTGGCACTTCTCACCTCAACTCAAATTTCAGCAACCTTGAAAATCTCCCACAATATTCCGAGAGCATTTTCGCCCAGTGGCTGAAGACCAACGCGACGTTCACAGTTCATGGGAAGACCTTGGAAGGATGGACAAAAGAGCAGAAAGTCTACCTGATGCCTGTACTGAGGGTGTTGGATTTTCTCTCAGCCATGCCAGACTTTATCCTCCTGATGCTTCTGATGCTCATCCATTGCCCACCCTTCATAATCATGAGCATTTTCCTGAGCGGCGATAAAAAGATTTGGCTCACCCTCATACTTTCTGCCACCTTTTTTGGCCTGGTTCTGGGAGAATTCTCTTGGATTCGTGACTTCCGTGGACTAACCCAACACTCGAAATTACTCTGGGGGGATTGGACGCGTTTGGTGGAGCCTGGAAAGAGATTGATGGTGGCAGACAAGGGCTTTCTTGGAATGGTGGACGACGGTGCGGAGAAGGGCGATATGCTCTTTTATCTGGTAGGTTGTTCGCCACCGGTGGTTTTGAGGGAGGTCCAAGGAGACAGAGACGGAGGTAGGGATAGGAGAAGGTATGAAGTCGTGGGGAAATGCTACATTCATTTCACCAAAAAGGATCAGGAAGAATACCTGGGATCTAAAGCACCTCGTTCGCCCGAAACGGCGAGTGGCCGCTTGAGATATGAAAGACTTAAAGAAGAGTGGGTGACGAAGCTAAAGAAGAAGGGAGCCTGGGAGGAAATTGATTCAGATTTGATGACGCTCTTCCTCGCTAGAAATAGGCTGGATGGATAATACTTGCATTATCTCACTAGGAATTTGGTGCCTATCCAAGCATTTGGGAAGAAGAGCGAAAGAGAGCCTGAAAGTTAAGTCTCTATCAGTGTCCATGCAATACCAAAAAGCGACTTCAATCGCCAAAAGCACTGCATTAATTTAATCTCATGGTGGCATTTGTCACCACGTTTCCCAACCCCAACCAGTTCACTGTAACAACTCTCACTGCACATTGTTGGAGACCTACAGAGCACATAGGACCGTGATTTCCAACCCCATAAAGTCTGTCGCCCGATTGAGACTCTGCCGAACGAGAAGACGAACTGTTGAGTTTGGACCTTTGATCTCTCCTTTCCTGCTCAGAGTGCTTCAGCTCATACGTACTCCGTTTATCGCCCCACCAGTGCTCCGCTCCAAACCTAAGTCCAGAAAGATAAGAAGAAGAAAATAAACTCCATAGGATAGGCTTAAGGGTAATACTTAATCTCACCCAGCGACCGCCTCAGCAAAGCCGCAAAGGCAAAGAGAAGAAACGGTGGGCTGAATGAATGGATTTCTCTGAATTTTAGCGGCAGAGTTATCCCAGGAGTGATGAGGAGTTGGGGGAAGCGGGAAGGGGATCGCGTGTGGCGGGAGTATTGGAAGATGGTTGGAAGAGGAGGGATGGATTTGGAGGAGATCTATACATCAGAGTTCCTTGTGCATTGTGATCGTGCAGTCTTTCTTATCAGGTGGTTTGGCGGTATATTCGATATAGTATTGCTCTGTTTTAGACGGCTGAAGACATAACAGTAATCAAGTAATAGAGGTAGGAAGTGACCCGACGATGGCTGTTTTCCAGGCGGAATTTGGTGTTACGAGAGTACTTTCTTGAGGCCCAAGTCATGGTAGGCCGTGAAGATTCGAGTTAACTAATGATTGTATTAAGAATACTCCGTATTGGGATCGTTTATTCAAGTTCTTAAATAGGATGCTCCCACCACTACGCTTTGCCAAGGCCGACCAGCACCAATAGAGCCACGTTCATGACGACGAGCACAAGCCAGATCAGCACTGCGAAGATGGTGACAATCCATCCATTTCTCATGTTGACACCGGCTGACCCTGTCTCCCCCTCCCTGGCATCATTCTCGCTTGGCGCTGTGATTACGGTCATGATGTGGCTGCGGCATGTAAAGTAGATCAGTGGTGCTGTGACGAAGGGCAAGATGACGCTCAATGCAACCTGGGAAGCCGTCAAAGCGTCGTTCAAGCCCTGTCTACCCACTGCACCGGCAACGATGACGCTTGGTACGATGCTGATGCTTCTGGTCAGAAGCCGGCGAAGCCAAGGCCTGACAGACCAGTTGAGCATGCCTTCGCTGACCATTTGCCCGGCAATGGTACAAACCTTGGTGGATGAGCCGTCAGCATTACACTTCAAAGGATAACGAGGTACGCTTACTATTCCGGCAGAGGTCCCTGAAAGTAGCAAGGCCAATGCGAACAAAGTGCCGGCGATAGGGGCAATGGTGGTGGAGAGCAGGTTATGTATTCCAAAAAGATCTGCTTCTGCTGCTTCGGAATTGTTGTATAGCCAAGCGCCAGCAGTAATTAGGATGGCGCTGTTGATGAAGAGCGCGAAGGTGAAGAGGGAGAAAGCCAATTCCACCACCGAATAGTGCAGGCATGACTTGATGGCTGCGATCGACGGTCGGTACTTCTCATCCAGACTTTTGGAGTCGTCCGCCGCAGTAGGCGCATCGACTGTGCCGGCATTAACATCAAACTGACGAAGGCGTGACTGTACAACACCAGAGCCGAGAAAAATCGAATGCGGCATCACGGTGGCGCCCAAGATGCCGCAAGACAGGTAAACGCCGTTCCCTCGTACGACCTCAGCCGAGGGCAGATAACCTCTAAAGACTTGCCCTACCGAGGTATTTTGGATGTAAGAAAGCTGTATACAGAAGCAAACGACCACTCCGAGCACCAACGCCATTACAAAATACTCGAAGATGCGTATATGCAGCATGGACCCATTAGGGCGGTAGAAGATGAGGATAACAAAAACATCGACCAACGTGATTGCACAGCCTGCTATCAACGGTATGTGCAGTAGAAGGTTGAGGGCAATTGCGGATCCAATCACCTAGAAAACTCAGCAACGGTGAAGAGCACTGCAGAACTAGCTTACCTCTGCGATGTCCGTAGCAATGATTGCCGACTCAGAGAATATATAGAGGATGATGACTAACCATCTCGGAAGGTGCTTGCGGCAATTTTCAGCCAGGTTGAGGCCAGTCACGCTTCCTAGCCTTATACACAAGGTTTGGAGGAAGATGGCAAAGAGGTTGGACATCAGCACGATGAAGAGGTGGGCGAACCTGGTAGCCGCTCCAGCTAGGGCCGGAGGTCAGCAACCAGTCTCTACCTCATAGCTCGAGCGGCCTAGTAGAGAAAACAGCTTGTCAACTTGAGGTGACTACGCTTACCATTCACATCAGTAGCATAGTTGCCAGGGTCTATGTATGCCACAGCGATCAAGAAGCCCGGTCCGATGAACCGCGAATACTTGGTCAAGATTTCTCGTAGTCGCCTTGTGCATTGGGCAGCGAAGTGCGTGAAGGAAGTCTTGCCATGAGGATCCTCTTGAGGAGCCGATGACAAGGTAAAAGCCTTTCTCCCTGGCTCCTTCTCCTGCTCCTGCTCCGCACCGGCTGGCCTCTCTGCTCTTGATATTGCAGCATCTCTTGGCGATTTGTCCTGCTCTTTGTCCGACTGATTTGAATGCTCGGCTCCATCCAGTTCCCTAGTGTTTGCAATGCCGTTCAGGTCTGCTCGGGTAGTCAGATCTGCGGTGAGCGCAGGGGGGTTCTGATTCCAATGAGGGTGCCGGTCAGTATCATCATTTCGAGAAGGACAGTTCATGATCAATGCAGGTATACTGGTTACTGGAGAAAATGAACCGCAAAATCAGGTCAGCTTGCTTCCAAAGGCTCGGGCCACCAGGTATATATCGTGACGATGCGAATGATTGAATGAATGAATGAATGAAAGAGTGAAAGAGCGTGGGAAGGAGCGAGTGTCACTTCTCGGGAAGCCAAGCAGCCGAGGACGATTTGTCCCGACTTGAAGCCATCATGTGGGGTGTCAGTGAGCCGGTCGGAAGGAGAAGACAAGAGACAAGGGCCACAGCGCCCAGAACGACTCTTCTGGGCCAAGTACGTAGTAAGCCTTCTCCAGGCCATTGCTAAGGCCGTCGCTAAGGCCATCGCTAAGGCCACCGCTCTGAACATGGCCATGACCAGCAGGCCCTAGCCACTCAGACTGCTTGCTGGAAGGAAAGACTTCTGCCGAGTGGGCGGAGCCGGAGTCGGAGTGGACCCTGGAAGGGCTTGGCGTGCTTGTGTTGCTGCACGGCAACACTTCGTTCTTTGTTTACCCGCCCTCCGCATGCTGCACAGATTTACGATTTATCATTGAAGAACAATCATGGTGATGCAGCATTGATAGCTGTTGTACCTGATGTGCTTGGGCCTCACAGTAGCTTTATCATCCTTACTCAACGGGAGCAGCTTATGATTCACAACAGCATCAGATCGCCGGACAACATGCCTTCTGCAATAGCTGCAGCCGCCCGCATATTCGAGGATACAGATGCAGACGCTAAGGCTGCCCGAGCCATGAAAAGTCACAAGCGAACCCCGTCTGTGGGAGAATTTCTTCGAGGAAGAAAGAACAGAGACAATGATCAGACCAAGCTCCGCGCCAACAGTCCCGCCTCTCGCATGTCTGAGACACCACTCGGAGAACGACATGTCAATAGTCCTCCGCAAACTCGACGCGTGCCAGTGAAGGACGATGCAACAAGACCGACGATGCACAAGAAAACAAAGAGCAATGTATCCATCAAGTCATTCATCAGAGACAAGTCATCGGATTCCGGGAGCATATCATCCTCGGACGGACGAGTGGACAACCACAAGCCGAAGAAGTCCAAATCGTCAACCAGTCTGGCCACGCTCTTCAAAAAGAAGTCCAAGAAGAACCTCAAGGATGAGGCGCCGAAAGGGCAAGAAAATATATCACCCCCCGCGTCTGCCAACGTGGAGATCACCAGGTCGCCCATATGGGCACAGTTCGCAACTCAGCCACTCGAGGACCAACAGGGCAAGATACACTATCCGCCAGGGAAGAGAAGGACAGTTCAGGAGGAGATTGACCTATACACCCCCAAAGATCTGGCCGCGAATCGACCGCTGCAGCAGAACGTTCACCAGGAAAGCCGGGGTCTTGCGGAGAAACCTCCACAGCGCCCATTTTTGGAGCACAGGTCATCCCGCAGCTCCATCTTCAAGGAGGATCTTGGCGACGATCATGACAGGCAGCTGGACCAGAAGCGATTGCAGTCGTCCCCCTTGAGAGAAGCTCGACCACCATTGCAACCACAATCGTCCCATCATTCTCAGCCATCAGAAACCCATGAGAAGCGGTCATCGAGGGTCTTGGCTGCAGTTGATACACTCAATCTACGGTCTCAGAAACAGGTCTCGTCGACACGCAAAAATCAAGAGAACTCGAGTCTATTGACGGAAGAAGAGATAAATTCGGCGTTGGAATCCCTACTCGATGCCCGGAATATTGCACCGAATATGAGAAGCCAGATGCGCGGCCTAGATATCAGTATGAAATCAAAGTTGATTCAGAACCAGCGAGGTGGCAGTGGTTCATCAACCTCTTCACAAACACCAACCACAACCGACAGAGACAGGAGAGACCAAGGAAGCAGCAGGCCAAGAACGCGCGATGAGGAAGACGCAAAGGAAGCCAAGCGATCGCGCTCGCGGCCTCGGAGTCGAGCTTTCACCTTGACGAGACGTGGTGATGATGGTGCCTCTCCAACGAAAAAGCAAAAGGGAGAAGAATCTACCCGATCTAGAAGCAAATCTCGTCCCAAGTCCGTGGACATGTCCTCGATGCGTCCGAGCTCTTCTCGATCACTCAAGTCGTCAACTTCCATCAGTAGTCTGTTCTCGTTCAACAAGCCAGACACGGCTGCTGTGCCAGGAGACTTCATTCACTATTTGCGTGAAGTGAAGAAGCCTGAGCTGGTTGAAATTGGCAAGATGCATAAGCTGAGGATCTTGCTTCGCAACGAGTCGATAGCCTGGACGGACACGTTTGTCAAGAGTGGCGGCATGGATGAGGTGGTTGATCTGCTGTATCGCATTCTCCAAGTGGAATGGCGAGAAGAGCACGAGGACAATTTATTACATGAGACACTGCTCTGCCTGAAAGGTCTGTGCACAACATCGCTTGCGTTGGAGCGGCTGGCAGAGATGGAAGCGGAGTTGTTCCCCAAACTGCTGGGCATGCTCTTTGACGAGGAGAGAAAAGGACCATCAGAGTTCAGCACCCGCAGCATCGTCATCTCACTCCTTTTCGCCCACCTCTCCGCAACTCGCCACGCAGACGAGACGACCCTCGCCTCCCGCGCCAAAACAATCCTACATTACCTCAAAGACCCCTCCCCCGACGAAGCCAAGAAACCATTCGACTTCATCGAACAAATGCACATCAACCGACCTTACCGCGTTTGGTGCAAAGAGGTGGTCAACGTCACCAAAGAAGTCTTTTGGATATTCCTGCACCACCTCAACGTCATCCCCATCGTGGACAACAGCAACAAGACCGAGCAGACCACATTTACAGACCGCCACTACCCGCCTCCTCGGCCACCTCACCCCGCAGCCCCCTACGTCGGCGGCGTAGAATGGGAAGCAACATCCTACCTGGCCATCCACCTGGACTTGCTCAACGGCCTCCTTGCCTCGCTCCCCAGCAGGGACGAAAGAAACTCACTCCGCCAAGAGATGCGCGCAAGCGGATGGGAGAAAGCGATGGGCGGGACGATGCGAACGTGCAAGGAGAAGTTTTATGGCGGCGTGCATGAGGGGTTGAAGGTCTGGGTGGCTGCGGCGAGAGAGGACGGGTGGCCGGTTGAAGATGTGAGGGCGGGGCCGCCGAGAGAGAACCCGAGTCCGAAGAAGGGGACTAGTCCGGTCAAGAAGAGGGACGAAGCGCCGAAATTGAGGCTTGACATTGGAGTTCCCGTGGCTGTTGGCGGAGAGGGGTTGGGCAAGGGAGGGGCCGGGTGGGTTTGATGTGAGGAGTTTTGATCATGGATGTTGTTGTATGTTGGATGAGCGGGTGAGTTAATGGGGTGGGGTTTGACTGACGAGGTGGCCCGTCGGATCAGGCTGGCCGACGTCTGCTCGTGCAGCAGGCATTGGACGATTAACGAAGTGGAGTTTGGAGTATTCTGGTTTTCGTTTTCTCTCTTATCATTCGTAATGAGAAACATGACTTCTATCACTTCGACCACCGCCTTTCTGTGCATCTCGTCTTATTGTGCTCCTCTGTGCTTGCTGCTTCGTCCTTCGATGACTTGCAAGTCTCTCGGCCTGGTCCGCTGGTTTCTGAACCTCTGACCTTCTTATCTAACAGGCTCCTTCCCAGGCTAGGGGAGTGGGACGGCGCCTGTGTGGAGTTGTGTCACTCTGACCGCATCACCAACTGTGTTCTGAGAGACGAGCACAACAAGGTCAAGGCCGTGGTTATATGAGTTGATCCATTCACTGCTGAGAATGCTTACCATTGATCCCGACGCATCTGGAAACGGTGACTCGGATTGTTGTCGGATTTCTGTCTCCAACTGCATCATCTTCCATCATTCTGCCCCTGCCGATTCCTGCTCGAGCTTGGCCTGGGACAGTGTACCCATCTGCTGTCTGTTACTTTCGGGCAGTTTACCAAAGTCATTCCAAGCATGCGAAGTCATTTTCCGGAACTTCGATTCCGCATGTCAGCATTATCCTCATTCCCAGCGATGAGTCCAACTTACAGCATCCCAAAATGTGCCTCCCTCGCCCTCCACCTCCAAAAAGAAGACCCAATATCCCACGATCAGGACCGTGAGGGCAAACTGCACAATCTTCGTCCCCTTGGTCCAGCGCGGTCTGGCGTACTTCAGCTTCGCCCTTCGCCGATATGTCTTCTCGAAGTGGAACTGGTGTTTTGGATGTAGAGTGGTGAAGTCCGGGGGCCAGGTCTTGCGGGCACGGTAGGGATTGGTGGTTGCGGTAAAGGGGGCGGGAGTGTAGGGTGCTGGCGTGGGTTTCCAGCCGAAGATGGATTTTATGGCGGTCCAGAGATTGAGCGGTTGGGCGGTGCGGACTTGGGTTGGGCGGCGGGAAGTCGGGCGGTAGGTACCTCGAGGCAGGGAAGAGGGGGATGGGGATGGAGAGGTTTGGGATGGGAATCTGAAGGTTGTGGATGGTGCGGTACGGGGTGAGGAGGTGGTTGTGCTGGCAGGCCTATTCTGATCACTGAATTGGAGGCCATGTAGAGTTTTCCGTCGGCTCTGCGATGTAAACTGACCGGCCTGACGACAGCGCAGCATGAAGGATATGGGACGGCTTGAGGCCGCTATCGTGTCGAAAGGGCAGTGTCAGTATCAGTATCAGTATCAGTATCAGTATCGGTACAGTATCAGCCCAGTCTCAGTATCAATCACATGCAGAACGTTGCCCGGCGGTTGGAAAATCCGGACCAGGCGGGTGCCAAGCTTCTCCAGCAAGCGAGTCTGGCGCCGGATGATCGCACATGGCACATGCCGAGGCTCAGAACTGGGGTGCATCGTAGTACTTTGGAGGTCATCCTACGGGTATTAATGGATTGTTCTGCTCTGGTTCGCAGACTCTTGTTCGCAGACTCTTGTTCTTCCATATATCCTGCTCTCCACTAATGTTGAATCGTATACATCTTCTACTGTCAGCTAATTGAGAGAACTCTCTGATAATGGCCCAAGGCATGCTCTCCCCTCGAGTCACTCTCGTCGTCCCAATACTAACACATGCCAGCCCCAAACAAAGCCCAGGAGCGCCTCTCCCAAGTCGGGGGCCACCTGTCCCACTCATCCATCACTCCCTCCAGCTCCCCAAAGACCTCGATCCTTCACTCTTCCCCCGACGATGTGGTAGTAACGTGCGCTCTTCGCACACCCTTCACAAAAGGCGGCAAAGGTCTCTTTAAAGATACCCCGGGCGCAGACTTACTGGCCGGAACATTCAAGAACCTGATCTCACGATCAAAGATAGACCCTAGCCTGGTCGAAGATATCGCCGTGGGCAATGTCCTCGCCCCGGGTGCTGGAGCGACAGAATTCCGTGCTGCGGCTCTTGTTGCTGGCTTCCCAGACTCAACTGCCGTCAAATCGTTAAACCGACAATGCTCTTCTGGACTGCAAGCATGCGTCGACATCGCTAATGAGATCAGAACCGGCATGATCGAGATTGGCGTCGGTGCAGGTGTGGAGAGCATGTCCTCACAGTACGGACCCGGGGCTGTGACCGAGTTCTCCGAGCTGCTGGAGAACCACATGCAGGCGGCCAACTGCAAAGTACCGATGGGCGTGCTATCCGAGCAAATGGCCAAGGACAAGAAAATCCCTCGAACCGAACAAGATGCATTCGCAGCAAGTTCGTATCAGAAAGCATTAAAGGCACAGGAGGCGGGTTTGTTCGACGAAGAAATCGCCCCCTTAACAGTCAAATACACCGACCCCAAAACCGACGAGGAGAAGACAGTCACTGTGACCAAAGACGACGGCGTGCGACCGGGCATAACCGCCGAATCGCTGGGTAAGATTCGCGCCGCCTTCGCCAAAGACGGCTCCATCCACGCCGGCAACGCCAGCCAAGTCTCCGACGGCGCCGCCGCGGTCTTGATGATGAAACGCTCGACCGCGCAACGCCTGCACCAACCAATCCTCGGCAAATTCGTCGCCGCCTCCATCGTCGGCGTCCCACCACTCCTCATGGGCATCGGGCCCTGGAAAGCCATCCCCGAGGCCCTTGCCAAAGCCGGTGTCAGCAAAGACGACGTCGATATCTATGAGATCAACGAGGCATTTGCGAGTCAGGCGGTTTGGTGCGTCAAGGAGCTGGGGTTGCCCTTTGACAAGGTGAATCCTAAGGGCGGCGCGATTGCGTTTGGACATCCGCTTGGCTGTACTGGGGCCAGGCAGGTGAGTACGCTGTTGAGTGAGCTGAGGCGGACGGGCAAGAAGATCGGCGTGTCGAGTATGTGTGTGGGGACGGGGATGGGCATGGCGGCTGTTTGGGTTGCCGAGTAGATGTATACTCCTAGTGGTAGCTGCATGGGCTGGGCATTGTATGGCATTGACAGGAGTAGATGGACCAGGAAGGGCAAATGCAGGGACCACGAGTCCTTGATAAGTATCAGTACGACTTGTATCTTCTATCTGTTCGACAACGTTAGCCATCAACCACCTATCCACGTC